ATATATATATATATATAACATGTAAGCTTACCACAACCCAAACCCAAAAAGAAAAGGTTTACTACGATCCCTGAACTGACTTGTTTCCAGATTTATGTTGAGGGAGTGTAGGGTTGCGGGCCCTGAAGGGGGATTGAAAAAGACCTGGGCCTCGGTTGCTGGGTCTTGTGGGGTCGTAGGTTTGGGGGCTTATACATATAGAGCCCAACACCCATGCGGATGTATGTCAAACTTCGTTGAGGGTTAAGTTATTAAGCCAGCAACACCGCAATGGGGATCTGGGAAAGCTTGAAATCAAAGCACCATGGACCCTTGGACCCTAAAGTGATCGACCCTAGGTGCGGCAGCCACCTCAACATCTCTCAAAGCCGCTGCCCCTTTCCCATCGAAGACCCAACACACCTGTGTAAACTCCAACATCCCGAACAAGCAGGCGAAAATAATGAGTAGTATTACTGATACTCGCCTCTTGCGGCTTGACTGCTAAAGGTCTCTCTCACCGGTGGTAGATTACGATGGTGCTATCTTGTACTAGTTCGTAAGGGCTCAAACGTGTTACAGCAAATTGGAATGTGACATGTGATCACCGGATCTTGGTACATGTCTTGCTCCTCTATGTATTTTGGATGCCCCAGCAAAAGCCCATTCAACAGTACATTGGCGCTTAGAAGCATGATTGAACAAACACTTAAGCCCTAGACCCTGAACCCATCTGAACCCTAAACCCTAAACAGCCTAAACCGTGAAGCCCTGAACCCAACACCCAAAACCCTAAACCCCTAAACCCTAAACCCTAAAGCCCTAAACCCTAAACCCTAAAGCCCTAAACCCTAAACCCAAAATCCCAAAACCGTCCTAGAAGCTCTCTTCTCTTTGATTCAAGAACCTCAGCATTCCTCGGTCTGGAGCCGGCCGTCAAGCGCGAAACTGCATTGGAATTGGAGGGTGCACCTAGTACGTTTAGGGTTTAGAGTCTTGGGGTTTAGGGTTTAGGGTTTAGGGTTTAGGGCTTTGGGTTTAGGGTCTAGGGCTCAGGGTTTAGGGCTTAGGGCTTAGGGTTTAGGGTTTAGGCTTTGGGTTTAGGGTCTAGGGCTCAGGGTTTAGGGTTTAGGGCTTTGGGTTTAGGGCTTAGGGCTTTGGGTTTAGGGTTTAGAGTCTTGGGGCTTTGCGTTTAGAGTCTAGGGTCTCCACGGTTTAGAAGTGCAGGTTTAGGACCAGCTGTTTGTAACATGGTCACTGTGCAAGTTGGACTGCCGAGTGGCAGGACGGTTGCATTGGATGCTGAGCTTGATGAAGAAGTGGCGAGTTTCAGGTATAGGGCACAGACCGCCCTGGGAGCTGGCATGGGGCGGCTCTTGAACTCATCTTTCGATGTGCTGGATGGTTATGGCTCGCTCAGCACAGCCGGCGTGAAGAATGGCGACGTGTTGACCTGGCTTTTAATAGAGGAAACCCAAGTTGTGTGCAATCAAGCAGACGATTTTGACGACCATCCCTGTGCCTTCGCTGCTACCCGGAATCATGAATCCCACATGGGCTTTGGGACCCGGGGGTGATCCGGCCGCAGGTGGGAGTTTCCGAAAATTAGGGTACCTTATTTCGGGGTCCTTTGAATAAGAATCCTACTATTTAGGGTGCTATATTAGGGTCCCCTATTGTCGGAAACCCACAGGTGGTGACAGCACTGCTGTGCAGGGTGAGCAGCCGAGCGTGAAGGACATCCAAGCAACAACCCGTGCTTTTGCTGTCATTCGTGCCGATGGTTCTGCAGTGTCCTGGGGAAATCCGAACTATGGTGGTGACAGCACTGCTGTCAAAGAAAAGCTAAGGAAAGTGCAACACATCCAAGCATCACATTCTGCTTTTGCTGCCATTCTTGCCGACGGCTCCGTCGTGACCTGGGGACATCGGCACTCAGGTGGTGACAGCTCTGCTGTGCAAGATGAGCTAGAGAACGTGCAGCAAATCCAAGCATCATACAATGCATTTGCTGCCATTCTTGCCGATGGCTTCGTCGTGACCTGGGGAGATCCGGACTATGGTGGTGACAGCACTGCTGTCAAAAGCAAGCTAAGGAACGTGCAACACATCCAAGCATCACAGTCTGCGTTTGCTGCCGTTCTTGCCGATGGCTCCGTCGTGACGTGGGGAGATCCGGACAAGGGCGGTAACAGCAATGCTGTGCAAGATGAGCTAAAGAACGTGCAACACATCCAAGCATCACAGTCTGCATTTGCTGCCATTCTTGCCGATGGCTCAGCGGTGAGCTGGGGACATCCAGGCAAAGGTGGTGACAGCACTGCTGTCAAAAAGAAGCTAAAGAACGTGCAACACATCCAAGCATCACAGTCTGCATTTGCTGCCATTCTTGCCGATGGCTCCGTCGTGACTTGGGGAAATGAGGACTGTGGTGGTGACAGCAGGGCTGTCCGAAAAAAGCTAAGGAACGTGCAACACATCCAAGCATCACATTCTGCTTTTGCTGCGATTCTGGCCGATGGCTCCGTCGTGACCTGGGGACATTCGGCCTATGGTGGTTACTGCGATGGAGAGCTAAGGGATGTGCAGCAAATCCAAGCAGCACGGTCTGCATTTGCTGCCATTTTAGCCGATGGCCGAATCGATTCTTGGGGAGTGTGGTGACAGCACTGCTGCGCAGGATGAGCTGAGGAACATGTAGCAAGTCAGTTCCGTACGAACGCACGTTGGGCAGCGACAGCCGGTAATCAAGGGAAGACAGTTTCACCGAAAGCGCGAAGTAGATCTGCAACCTTCCGAGAACAGACGCATTTCTTCAACGTGGGGATACTGAAGTACCCCTAATTTTTTTAAGCATCTTGGAAGCGGCCGGGCCTGTGAAAGCAGTACATCCCTGACTGCGAAAGACCGTGTGCTGTTGTTAGGCTTAGTACCCATAGCAGCTGCCGTTGCTTTTTGGAAAGTTGAGCTTTCTTACAAGCCCTTTGGAAAGCAGAGACATGTTGATGCTTTCGAAGCCATAGGTCGGCTGTTAGCATTTGCGAGCTCCTTTCAGACTGACATGAGCTCCTTTTCTACGGCTTCTGTGGCCACAACGTGTGGAGCCTGAATAATTCGCTGCCTCATAGATCACAGGTCCTGCATATATGTGTAGAAGAATCTACCCCCAGCCGTAGTATCTGTTGCAGTGAAGGTGATGCGAACTATCTGCCTGATCATAGAAGAGTGGAAGGCCAGTTGCTCTGTGCTAGGGCTTCAGAGTTTAGTGTTTAGGGTTTAGGGTTTAGGTTTTAGGGTTGTGTAGTGTTTAGGGCTTAGGGACAGGGCTTCAAAGTTTAGGGTGTAGTCTAGGGGTATGGCTTCAAAGTTTGGGGGTTGGGTTTACGGCTTAAGGAGTTGTGAATTAGGGGTGAGGCTTTAAGGGCCTATCCTGAGCCCTGAACCCTAAACCGCTTTAGCTTCTTGTACCCCTCCCTCCGGACTTACTTAGACACCGCGTGTTTCTTGAGCCCCCGAAGAAGCATAGGGTTCTACTTGGTCGCGAGTTAAAGTAGGAAAGTATATAGGGATAGACTCATGGATTGAGAGGCTTATCCTCGTTGATACTAATCCTTTTGAGTTCCATATTACGGTCTCCGAAGCCCTAAACCCTAAACCCTAAACCCTTAACCCTAGAACCGCAATCCTCAATCCTTCTGTCCAAATGCATTCTAGCCAGAGCTCGGAGGTAATACTACACAGTTAGGGTTTAGGGTTTAGGAGGGTGTAAGGTTTGGGGCTTTAGGCTTGGAGTTTAAGGCTGCAGGAATTGAGGCCTTAGTTCCATTCTTGTGTTACAGGCGACCCAAGGCCGAACACTGAACCCTAAATGGGACCTTAGTTTGGGGTCCTTATAATAGGGATCCTCTTATTTAGGGTACTATATTAGGGTCCCCTATTTTCGGAAACCCCCAAATCCTGAACCCTGAACTCTAAACCCTAGACGCTAAACCTTTCTTTCATATATTAATGTAAACTTTAATGATTTCGCGGTTCAAGGCCAATCGTTCGTGCTTTAATAAGGCAAATCATCTTTTTGCGCCTAAAACCGCGAATTGTTTTGCGTGAAACCACGAATATTCGTGGTTTGGGGCCAGGTCGTTCGCGGTTTAAGGCCATTTGTTGTTTAAGGTCAATCGTTCGTGGTTTAAGGCAAATCGTCTGTGGTTTAAGGCCAATCGTCAGTGGTTTAAGGCCAATTGTTCGTGGTTTAAGGCCAACTGAATGTTCGTGGTTTAAGGCAATTTGGCCTTGATCCACTAACGACCTGGCCTTAACCCGCGAATATTCGCGGTTGAAGGCAAATCCTTCGCGGTTCAAGGCAAGAAGTTGTCCGAACTCCAAAATAATAGTGCGAACCCGAAAATCCTAGTCCGAACCCCAGAATACTAGTCCGAATCCTAAAATAACAGTCCGAATCCTAGTCCGAACCCTAGAATAGTAGCCCGAATCCTAGAATAATGGTCCGAACCCTAAACTAATAGTCCGAATCCTAAACTAGTAGTCGGAACCCGAAAATAGTATTCCGAATCCCAAAAATACTAGTCCGAACACCTAAGTGATAGTCCGAGCTAGAAAATGATAGTCCGAACTATAAAAAGTATTCCGAACCCTGAAACAGTAGTCCGAACCCTAAAATAGTAGCCCGAACTCAAAAATAGTAATCCGAACTAAAATAGAAAGGTCATTGTTAAATAAAAAACATTGAACAACCCACCTATATGGTTTAGTGAATGTATTCTCAATGTTATTGGATTCTCTGGGTGGGTGGGTGTTACATCAAAACCGTACACATAACTGTACTAATACTGCTGCTCGATGAACCCTAAACCCTAAACCAAAACCCTCTAAACCAAACCCTAAACCCTAAACCCTAAACCCCTAAATCCTGAACCCTTAGGCTAATCTTTAAACCCAGAGCCTTCATAGCCTTGGGATCTTCCGACCCCATGTCAATAGGCCCCTTGGAGGAACCCGTAAAGGAACCCTTTAAAGAACAAAAAAAAACCCTTAGAGGGGAAGAAGGGGGCTTGAAGTAAGAGGTACCTGACTTCGGGCCACTCCTTATTATTATTTCTTTTCGCCCCAAAACCTGTCCTGACCCTAAACCCTAAACCCTAGCATGCAGCCGTCCACAGGCCGACAAGGTGGTGGATGAGTTCGAAGCCAAGGCACAGATGTGCCGGGAGCGTGGGGACATCTGCTGAGCAGTGGCTGCATGGGTTTAGGGTTTAGGGT